TAGGAGGATGAGAATTGCATTTGGAGATGATCAAAGTCAAAAGTAATAATACGCCCTACACCTTTAAGTGACAGTGAGGAGGAGTCTTAAGAGTGGTATGATAGGCTCCTATTTGAGAGGTATGGGCAGGGGTAAAGTTTAAGGTTTTAAAGGCAAAGTGGAGCTGTTGTGTAATGGTCAGGAATTGGGGGTTTAATTTTTTTGGTAGGCAACTGTTTGAGCAAGAGTATGATATTAAAAATAATGTTTCAGGAAAATCATTATCTGGGATGGCTTGGAGAATCTTGTTGAGATTAGATCCAGAGAAGTCGGGAAGATTTTACAATAATTAAAGGATGAAGAAAGGGTAGACCTTGAATATCTGCTTGTGCAATACACTGCTAGGCTTTCATGTGTATTATCTAGTTAATCTTTAACAACAGGTAGGAATTATTAGCCTCTGGTTTTCAAGAGGCCACATGTCAGAGGAATTTAATATTTTGCTCGGAAAAGAAAGTCTGCTAACTTTTAAGCAGTATGTATACATCTACCTCTTTCAAACAGTTTTATATTATTTGGTAATACTGTAATTTATTTAACAAATACCTGTTGATGGAAATTTGGGTTGTTTCCATATTTTTTTAGTTTTACTAGTAATGCTGCAATAAATATTCTTACATGTATCTTTGTACATATTTTCTAGCACTGTATTTCTGTAGAAGAAACTCCTAGAAGTGGAACTGAATTCCTGGATTAAAATGGCTTTAAAACAAGTGGTATAGAGGCCTGGAGAAAGGGTACTGAATGTGGATAATGGATCATGATTGTCATGGCAGTTTTTAGAGAGTCGTAACAAAGGTACAGTGTACTTGGTACTACATAAAAAACTAATAGAGCATATTCTTGCCAAGTATAATAACAGAGTAAGCCGTAGAATGTTAGAATGGAAGTTCCTAAAAATAATTTAGTCTAATTCTTAATTTTACTGTTGAGACTCTTGACATCTAGAAAGTTTTAGAGTGTTCCTAAAATAGAGCAGGAATTAGGATTTGGATACTCATTTTTGATTCATTAGTCTAAATGTAGTAGGTCTTTTCCCCTACCAAAGTAGTTTAAAGAGAAAACTACTTTCAAATTTCTTTCCATTATTTTACATGTGTATGTAGTTCATATGTCATAACTGCTGTTTTCTGCCATTTTTAGTTAATATTATTTCATAATGGTTTGTGAAATAATAATGTGTTTAAAAAGTATTAAGTATTTAGTTTTCCCATCTTTTTTGTTTTCCTCCTTTTCTACTAACCAAGCAAAGTGAGGAACAGACACATTCTGATCTTCAGGTGGGCTGAAGTGTGAGTAGAAGACGAGATTTTTAAGTTTATTTAAAAAAAAAAGGTAACACGAGTTTCAGAAACACTGAGGTAGAGCATATGGTCCTTATTTCTACTCGTTTTAAATGGTAGTACAATATTACATTTTGTTGATAGATATAGTTTACCTATTGTCAGGCATTTTGGCTTTTTGTCCCAAAATCTCTGATCATACTTTGTATTTCCAGTTGTTTGTTACTAGTATATAGAAGTACAATTGATTCTTTTTAGGACTTAATTTTTTTAGAGCAGTTTACAACAAAATCGAGAAGAGGGTACAAAGATTTCCTGTGTACCCCAACCCCACACATGCTTAGGCTCCCTCGTTATCAACATCATTCACCAGAATGGTACATTATTTACCAAAGGTGAACCTATAATTGGCACATTATAATCACCCCAAAGTCAACAGTTTACCTTAGAGTTCCCTCTTGCTGTTATACATTCTATGTGTTTGGACAAATGTATAATGACATATAACCATAATTATAATATCATAGGGTATTTTCACTGCCCTAAAAATCCTCTGCACTCTTCCTGTTCACCTCTCTACCTTACCTCTACCCCTGGTAGCCACTGATTTTTTTTTCTTATCTCTATAGTTTTGCCTCTTTCAGAATGTCGTATACTTGGAGTCATATAATATATTGCCTTTTTATATGGGCTTCTTTCACTTAGTATTGTGTATTTAAGTTTCCTCCATGTCTTTTCATGGCTTGATAGCTCATTTCTTTTTAGTGTCTGGATGTACCACAGTTTATCCATTCACCTACTGAAGGATGTCTGGTTGCCTTCAAATGTTGGCAGTTATAAATAAAACTGCTATAAACATCCATGCATCGGTTTTTGTGTGCACAGAAATTTTCAACTCTTTGGGTAAATATCAGTTTCTGGATTATTTGGTAAGAGTATGTTTAGTTTTGTAAAAAAAACTGCCTTCCAAAGTGGCTGTACCATTTTGCATTTTCACCAGCAATGTATGAGATTACCTGTAGCTCTACATACTTGCCTGCATTTGGTGGTGTTACACAATTGATTTTTGTATATTGACTTTGTATCCTGAAGGATAAGGAAAGATTAACATATGTAGAATATCTTGCTAAAGTCTCTTATTAGTTCTAGTAGCTTCTTAGAATTTTCTATGTAGAGGAACATGATATCTGTGAAAAAGACTTTTTACTTCTTTCCTTCCAATTTTTATGCTTTTTATTTCTTTTTATTTTTTTATTGCATTGCCCAGGCCTCCTTCTAGTACCATGTTGAATACAAGTAATAAGAGTGCAATTAGGCAGGAAAAAGAAAAGGCATAGCAATTGTTCTCTCTTCCTCTATTTTATGAATATGTAAGGTTAATGAATTGGCCATTTCATTAATATGAAATGCTCTTTATCTCTGGTAATCTCCTGATGTGAAATCTACTTTGTCTAAAATTTATACAGCTTCTCTAGCTTTCTTAATGATTAGTGTTCACAGGCTATATTTTTTCTATACTTTCTACTTTAGACCTACATCTGTGTCTTGTAAACAGTATATAGTTGGGCGCTGCCTCTTTTTTTGACTACTTCTTACAGTCTCTGCCTTTTAAAGAGGTGTTTAGTCCATAAAATTTAATATTATTGGTATGGTTAGGTTTAAGTTTTTATCTATTTCTTTTTCCTTTTTTGGGGGGGGGCGCTTCTTTTGTTTTTATTATTTTTTTAATACATATTTCTTCTCTTGGCTTTTTAGTTATGTACCTTTGCATTACTTTTTTAGTGGTTGCTCTGGAGACTGTGCTACATGGTTAACTTTTCACAGTGTCCGGTGAATGAATATTAACAAATACCTGTGTTTGACAGTTATGAACCTGGATTTGATCATTTTTTTCAGGCCTCATCTTCAGCTTTTCTTGGTATATCAATCCACTTAGTGGAATTCTGAATATAATGACAAAAATCATTAGGGAAAAAATTCACATTTTGGTGCTTATTTTGGATTAAAGATATTTATCTTTATTGTCATCATCTTTGTACCAAAGTTCAATATCGCAACTTTTACTAGCACCTGAGAGAGTCAGATATGGATAGTAGGAAGCCAAAAGGGCTATTATAAACACTCTACATATTATTCTCAAAGATCATAATTTTCACATTCTTCAGAGCAGAGGCAAAAGGATTATTTACTCACTTTTGCTTTGACTAGCTGGCCCAGAGCTTTTCTGGATCTGGTCCAGTTTGTACTGGGAATTTTCTCAGTGGATTGTAGTTTTTATTTTCTCAATGAAGTCTTTTGAGAGATAGCTGCTTTTTTGATATTTGTCCATTTCTAAAACAAAAGGTATTTGTATTTAGAATTAGAAATCCAGTTTCCATATACACTTAAGTAGTTCTAGGTCTATGATGTTAGTATTGTCAGATCTCGTAGTGCTTTTTGAAGTTTTTTTCTTAAAATATCTTACCTGACTTCTGAAAGTGATATTTAGCCTTAGTAGTACCATTAAACTGTAAGATGCATAAGAAAACTCAACATTTCATATAGTAGGTCAGCTGAGTGTTGATGTCTACTTATAATGAATTAAACATCTAATAAAACCTTTAACAACTATGAATTATAGGTTGCCATGTAATGTTAAGTTTAAGAAGTTTTGGATCATGATTACACAGGGAACATGAGTACAGTATCTTTTAAATTATGGTTTAAAATTTTGATTTAAATTTGGAAGGTGGAAGCAGTTCCTCTTACCAAAAATATGTAACTGAAAGAATTTATATTGCACATATTTATGCATATTTATATACATTTTTCTATCAAAGGTAAATATTTGTAGAGTTCATATACTATTTGAAGAGTTCGTTTAAGCCACATCTACGTACTCTGATGCACACAAAGTTCAACTTGAAACCTTCCTTTTCTCTGTAGGTTAACTATTTGTAAAATGTTTCAAGAAAATGAGGAAATGGCTCAATGCCTCAGTCAGGGAGAATTCCAGTGACATCTGCAGTGGAGAATTATGTGGAGATGAGAAACAGAAGAGGCCAAGATTGGAAGAGCAGGTGGGGGAGTAGGACATTAGGTTAGATATAGTGAAAACACTTATGTGGAACTTATTTTTTATTGGTCTATAGCACTTTAATATATGATTGTACTTAATAGAAAAATAAGAAATAGTCGATCAAATCAGTAATACAGAGTAATGAATGTGGTAGAGCTTTGGTTAGTATTTTATGTTTTAGGCCTTCAGAGAAAATCAGATACCTTATGGTGGGGTTTTATCTTTTTTTTTGCCAAGGCCTTACTGTGAGATTGAGTTAGTGTGGAATGAAATTCTAAACATATCAGTTCTGATGTTTAAAAATATATGTATATTTTGTATTAGGAGTTTAAAACAACTTTATTTTGAAATATTTTTATGATTAGAAAAAATTATAAGAATAGTGTCAAGAATTTCTTACATTCTTCTCCCATATTCATCAATTTTGCTACTTGTTGTTTATGAGATGTGTGTGTGTGTGTGTTCTTTTTTCTGAAAATTTTGAGAATGAGTTGTGGACATCATGCCTCTTTACTCCTAAATACGTCAGCATATATTTTCTAGAACAAGGGTATTCTCTTATGTAATCACAGTATAATTATCTTAGCAAAATTATTTTACATTTTTTTTCTTCTTTTTGACCCTTTTTGAAACTAGCCCACATGCTACATAATAGACCACAAACACTGTGAGGCCAGCTTTAGTATTGCTTTTTCTACTTTTATGACCAAGACCGGTGTTCAGATCCAATGGGAAGGGAACTAAAGGGTTCATATTTAGTAAATTTAACATTAATACAGTTCTCTTGTCTGATATATAGTCTGCATTAAAATTTTGCCAGTTTTCTCAGTAATGCCTTTTATAACAGTCCCTCCTCTCCCTCCACCTAGGATCCAATCAGGATTGTGCATTGCATTTGTCATACTTTTTTAGTTTTCAGTTTGGTACAATTGCTCAGCTTTTCTTTGTCTTTCATGTCAGTGACATTAAAAATACCCATGAAAAAATGCTTAGCACCCAAGAGGAATTTTTAAGAAATATTAAAATTAGAATTTGTTATAAATCATCATTTGAATTTCTTCTTTATAATTCTGCTCTTTCCTGTTTGGGATTGCTGCCATATTTTAATGTCATTGCTTTGGCTTTCTCTACACATGAATATATGGTCTCTTCTCATTTCATCTAGCTCAGATGCTAGGAAGATACTTCTAAACTTATTTTAGTTTTCATTTTAAAATTGGGTTCAGCTTGTCAAGGAGGAGTAAAAAGGACAAAAAAAAGCTCAGGATGCTAATATTAGTCTATTCACATGAAATGGCTAGTGAGCCAGAATGAGAATCTTTTACTTCTTGATATTTCTTGACTGGCTTTCTTGAATGGCTTATTGTGAATTAAATAATGAGTTAAAATCAATTAAGAGTGCATACCATAGAATTTGGTCTAAGCAGGTAGGATAATGAACAAATGAGCATCAACTTTGGAGCTTGATAGATCTGTTTTGAATCTGATGATTCTCTTTACTAGCTAAGTAGTCTTGATCAAGTTATTTTACCTTAGAGAATTCAGGTAAAAGAGAGATAATAATAGCTATAGTGCAAGTGTTTTTGCAAGCATTAGTGATAATGAATGCAAAATGCATGATAGTGCCTGGCACATAGTTGGTGCTGAAGAAGTGGTTATTCGGTTTTTGTAAAATCATCAAAGACAGCTCTAGGAGGAGTCTTAAAAAATCACCCAGATAATGAAACCTGTTCAGAAACGTTAAGTGACTGTTACTGCCCCCATTAGAGTATAAACTCTTTGAGAGTAGGGACTGTTTGTATTTTTTACTTTATGTTCTTTAGAGCAGCGGTCTCCAACCTTTTTGGCACCAGAGACCAGTGCTCCTATGAGAATCTAATGCCCCAAGTGATCTGAGATGGAGCTGAGGCAGTGATGCTAGCGTTGGGGAGCAGCTGCAAATACAGATGAAGTTTTGCTTGCCCACCTGCCTCTCACCTCCTGCTGTGCGGCTCAGTTCCTAACAGGCCATGGTCCACAGCCTCGGGGTTGGGGACCCCTGCTTTAGCATGTATAGAGAGCATAGACTTTAGTGCTTGGAAAATATTGCTTGTTCAGACACATTTCAGACATCCAAATTCTAGATATAATGTTAAATGAGTTGCAATTTTTATCTGGTTTAAAATGTTGTTGATAAATCTTTGAGAGTCACATTCTTCTCAGAATATGAAAAATATAATTCAGGCTTGTCAGACTATCAATAGAAGTGAAGCAAAGACGTTTTAGAAATTATATATACATAATTTTTTAAATACTTATATTCAATACTAAGAAGGCTTTTAAGCAGGAATAATTAAGCTGTTTTTATGTAGCTTTTTAGCATAAGTCATATTCAAATGCCATTTCATAGTAAATAATTTATTTTTGGCATAACTGTTTTCTCTAGTTCTTAACTCTTTGCTTCCATGCATACCTATAATATCTTAACCAATGGACTCACTTTTAGTTTTTTAGTTTCTTTTGGGGGCACTTATAACTCTTAGAAAGAACTATACACCATGAGCTTTATTCTTTTGTAGAGGTCTTCCAAATAACAGTAATGTATTTTTTAAACTCATTTTATCTTGCAATTACCATATTGGTTCTGTGGACAATTTTATATCTTTTTCTTTTCTTTTTTTCTTTACCACCTACAGCACCTCATATTTCTAGGTGGTCTCTCATCCAAGTACTAACCAGGCCCAACCCTGCTTAGCTTCTGCAATCAGACAAGATTGGGCGTGTTCAGGGTGGCATGGCTGTAGACTGTGGACAATTTATAAATCTAAGTTGCATTTGACGATATTAGTGATCTTATTTTTTCTACATCTTGCTATTTCATCCAAAGAATTATTTCTTCATTACTCATCAGTTATTCTCAACTATGCAAAAAAAAAAAGTTGAAATAATAAGAAAAAGGAAAAATGATGGAATTACTTAGAGCGGAGGTTGGCAAATATTTCTGTATAGGGTAAGCTAGTAAATATTCTAGGTTTTATAGGCCACATATGGTCTCTCTGGCGTTTTCTTCTTTAAATAATCTTTTAAAAATGTAAAAACCATACTTAGCTTCCAGGTCATACAAAATAGGTCTGGGCCAGATTTAGCCTGTAAGCCTTAGTTTGCCATTGCATTATTCCAGTTTTCATATTGCACTGTCCAAAGTATTATCTCGTCTTTCAAGAAGTATAAAAGGAGACCAGAGACACCATCTTTATTGTCTGCTTTTCACTTGTATTGAACAGAATTGGGAATTCATAATTTTTCATATTTTGTTCATAATGGCAAAGAGAAAAAACTTGACAGAGGAACAAGTTTCACAATTATTGCATGAATCAGAAAATGAAAACAAAGAAATAGCATTCTAGGCTTTAATGATGATGGTGAAGTAGATGATATAAACAAAATCTCAGACTGAATCTTCAGATAATGATCTCATAGGTGAATTTTCTCAAACTAAAAAAAATTGATAATTGAGCAGTATATTTCTAAGGGCCAAAGGAAAATATGGTATTTTTACCCATTTTATCATTCAACAAGGAAGAAGTAATCACACAATATTTTGTGACAAAGTCTTGGCTATGGGATAAGAGGATGTGTGCTAGTATTTTCATTTCTTATATTTGTGTTCCAAAATTGATCAGATACAGTTGTAATTGGACATTGCTGAAAGTGGGTGTTTATACAAATGTGATTAGAAAAAAAAATTGATTGGATCGATTATTCTAACTAATGTTTATAAATGTAAAAATGATAATATTTTGCAAATTATGGATCAGAGAAAATAGCCATCTTTTCTTCAACAAATTGTGAGCCCTTAAAAGTTTCAAAATTTCAGTTTCAAGTATTACATTTTGACAATGCAATTGCCAGAAGAAGAATCAGAAGTAATGATAAGGACTAGTTTCCTGTAGGATTTCTTTCTCTGAGTTTTACCTTGTGTTTAGGCTCTTGACTTACCTTGCAGGTAGACACTTTGAGAAACAGCCTTAAAATTTTTGGTGCTGCTTTTACTACTGGAATGTTATTGAGGACTTTATGTAATGTATTTCTTAAAACCAGGGCAGGTCAGATGTTTTACTTTCTCAGCTGTTCCTTTTTTTTTTCTTTCTTTCTTTTTTTTTTTTTTGACATAAGACTATTTTGGATTTTTGTTTTAACTTGGGCTGTCATGAATTCAGATCCAAAATTGAGCACTAACTGTAAATTTGTATACTATGTTCATATGTTTCTTCCCAGTATTTTATTTCATGTTTGCAAATAAGAACCTTTGTACTTGGAGAGTATCAATTACTGTGTCAAACTCATTTTGAGAATAAGAATGACTAAAGGAATGATAATTGTACAGTAGATCTCTTTGACCATATAGATTAAAGATTGTTGAAGACTTGAATCTCTCTTTTTTTCCCCTCTTTAGTTGTCTTAGTCCCAGAGAATTTTAAAATGAAGAAGTCAGAATATTTCCTGAGTCTTTTACAATGGGTCTTAGCCAGTTTTATTTAAGGGCCTTACTCATTTGCCAAGGGTTTGTGTGTGATAAAAGATGAAGGTTAGAGATGAAAAGCCTTTCTGCTTGGGCAGATCTCTCCCTGGATGGTTATAACTAAGGCAATAGAAGGTTGTATGGAACCTCTTTCCTTGACTGAAATGATTGGAGACAAATAGCAGTACATTTTATGAACTTAGCATAATTCTAAGTTTAAAACAATAAACATGGTGGAGTAAGAAACTACAAAAGTTCATGCCTCCATAAAAGCAACAACAGCAGAAAGCTGACCAAAACTACAAATCAACTTTTTCAGGACTCTGGAGACTGACCCAAAGCTTATAGCAACCAGGAGAACATTTAGTCAAGAAAAACTGCTGAATCTTGTGGCATTTTAATGTACCCTGGTCCCATCCCCTGCTCCTCAATTCATCAGTAGCCTTGAAAATAATAGCCCCTGTTCTTGGTACTGGTACTGGTAGTAGAGAGAGCAGAATAGACCTCATTCACAAAAAATTGGAATGAATTTGTTTTGATCTGTGTGGTGGCTCCCTGAATGACTGATTCAAAAGACTCGACTTTATCTCACCTAACTTGAAATCTTCCATGTTAAAGTGACTACGCTGGAAGTGTTTGTCAAAAATATAGGCAGAGGTATTAGTCACTGCTGTTTGAGGTAGTGACAACAGTTGAGGCAAAAAATAGACTAATAAAAAAAGTTGAGAGGAAAGACTGGGAATAAGATACCTTGAAGAATAAGGGCTTTAAAATTTTTTGACCTAGGAATAAAAGACCACACACTTGTCCAGGGCTCTGCATGTGCCTGGGAAGGCCCTATGCTCTCACCTCTGGTTGACCTTGAGGTTCTGCATAAGCAGGAAGTGAAGAATTGTAAACTTTTTGCTTTAATATTGAAGGCATGTCCCAACACACAGAGACCATCTGCAAAGACTGGGAGAAGTTTTTGATTCTAGGATTTTAAGGAAATTTCTTTCCAATTACTAGCTGACCACTAAGCTAATAGAGACTTCAGTGGTCACCCATGACAAAAAATACAAACTTTGCAGTATTCAGAAAAGTCATTTAAAAAGAAACAATTACAGCAAAAAGTAACAGTAAACACTGAAAGGGAGGGGAACATGTGATTGCTAGAGTTACCACATTATAATAGTCAACATCCAGTTTTCTAGAAAAAGTAATGAGGCATGCAAAAAAACAAGAAAGTAAGGCCATTTCACAGAAGAA